ATAGTTGAGGGAACCTCATCTCTACAAGAAATTTAAAAATTAGCGTAAGCTTTAGCGGGGTGTGCCCATCTGCTAGTCCCAGCCTACCGGGAGGGTTTAGGGGGGTGGATAGCTTGCAGGGGGCCTGGGAGATACAGCCATGATCGTGTCACTGCCACTCCAGGGCCCTCCGGTGGACAAGAGTGGAGACTGTTGTCTCAAAAAAAAACAAGTATTAACAGGTAGTGGTGCATCAGTAATGAGTTTGAACCCCAACAGTTCACTGGCTTGTTTTCTTCCATCGCTTATTGAACACATATGGTGGAAAACACTTGGGGATATGAGCTGCCAATTGTAGACTTTTATAGCAATCCTGGCCCCTTCCTAGTAACTGCTCCCCACCTAACCTTGGTTAATTGGTGTCCTGCTGGACCCATCTTTACAGTTTTGGTAGCAGTTGCCTTCATGGTGGAGCTGAGAAAAGGCTGGCCTTTTTTTTTTTTTTCTGAGATGGGCGTTCTCGCTCTGTCGCCAAGACTGGAGTGCAGCTGCACAATCTTGGCTCACTGCCAACTGCCACACCCTGGTTTTTAAGCAATCTCTGCCCTCAGCCTCCCGAGTAGGCTGGGGATTATAGGTACGTGGCCCACCATGCTCAGCTAATTTTTGTATTTTTAGTAGAGATGGGGTTTTCACCATCTTGGCCAGGGGCTGGTCTTGAACTCCTGAACCGTGTGATCCACCACCTTGGCCCCCAAGTGCTTGGATTACAGGCTATGAGCCGCCGCTACCAGCCTAAGCCACCAGCCCCAGCCATAAGCTTCTTATTTGTTAAAAAAAAAAATTGGTCATAAGAAAGTAGTTGAATAAGGCCGGGGCAGTGGCTCAAGGCCTGTAATCCAGCACTTTTTGGAGGCCGAGCATGGGCGGTCACGACGGTCAACCGGGGAGATCGAGCCATCCTGGCTAACACAGTGAAAACCCGTCTCTACTAAATACAAAAAAAAATTTAGCCGGCGGACGGTGGCGGGCACTGCTACTTCTCCAGCTACTTGGGAGGCTTGAGGCAGGAGAATGGGCATGAACCCGGGGAAGGCGGGGCTTGCAGGTAGCTGAGCATTCCAGCCACTGCACTCCAGCCTGGTCCAACAGAGCCAGACTCCGTCTCAAAAAAAAAAAAAAAAAGAAAGTAGTTTGATAAATAATTAGCTGAGCCTGGCTAGCTCTCATCTGTAGTCCAGCTCTTGGCGGAGGCTGGAGGTGTGGACAATTGCTGCGGGGCCCAGTAGTCTGAGGCCTGCAGTGAGCCCTGATGGTTGCCTTTGCACTCCAGCAAGGCGTGACAGGAGGGAAGACCCTGTCTCAAAAACAAAAACAAGAGGTAGTGCCGCCCCTACTTGGGGGCTCAGAGCAATAATCCAAAAATATGGGCTCCTTGGTGTGCCCATGAATTAAAGCAGAATGAAAGCTCAGAAGCAGCACAAAAGCAAAGAACTCTCTCTCACCATATCCTGCCCTCCTGTTCCTGCCCCTTACTCCCCAAAGGGGTCACAGAAAACAGAATCTCCCTTCCTCGGAGGGAGTAACAGAAACCACGAACCTCTTTCCAAACCAAGCCATGCCAGCTTGGGAAACATGGGGAGAATCCCATCCCTACAAAAACATACAAAAAAAAAAAAAAAAATTACTGGGCATGGTGGGCATGCCCTGTGATCCCACCTACTTGGGAAGTTGGGGTGGGAGGATCACTTGAGCCTGAGAAGTTGGGGCTGCAGTGAGCTGTGATTGTGCCACTGCACCCCAGCCTGGGCAACAGAGCAAGACCGTCTCAAAAACAAAAACAATGACGACAACAAAAAGCAAGTCATAAAACCTAGAAATATTACTCTAAATTACCCCCGCCTTTCTGTGCATGAGCTGGCCATAAAGAAATTCTCTGACCTACCTTATCTAACAATGGGTCGGTCATAAGACTGCTCCATACCCAGGAGGGAGGAATGCTACACAGAAAGGCCAAGAAGAATCTGAAGAGACAGGCCTTGCTGGGTTTCCCCACTTAGTCCATTACCATTAGATCGCACTCTTTTTGTCCAATCACATTTCTACACAATTGTCCACTCTTCATCAAACGTAAGCAGAAAAACAAGGCAGTTTTCCCTGGGTCTTTGGATTCTTCCTATCTGAAGCCTGCTGTGTCACATAAAACTTGGATTGACTACATTTGTTATGCTTTTCTCTTGTTATCCTGTCTTTTGTCATGGGGGTGTTGGTCATGACCTTTATGATGGGTGAGGAAAGGTATCACACCTTTCTGCTCCTACACTCCCAGCCAAAGCTGTGAACCCGCAGGGCTCTGAGGGGTTATTAAAGGAGGGGGAAGCCCAGTGACCAGCTAGCATTACTTGTAAAGCAGAGTTATTAACCCGGATCCACTGGCTCCTTAGCAGTCTGTGAATGTCCTGGAGTCACATGCAGAGTTTCATGTGAGTGCCTTTTTCCCCCTATGGACAGGGCCCATTCCACATCTTTTATGTGATTTTCCAATTGGTCTGACTTTCCAGAAAGGATAATCATTCTTGTAAATCAGGAGTTTGCTAATGGCACACAGGCCAAATCCAGCCCAATGTTGGAATTTTGTACAACTCACAAGCTAATATTGTTTTTATATTTTTAAACGGTTGAAAAAATCAAAAGGAAAATAGTAATTCATGGCACATGAAAATTATATGAAATTCAAATTTGTGTCCATAAAGTTTTCTTGGAGTGCAATCACACTTATTTGTTCACAGACTATCGGCTGCTTATGTGCTACAAGGGCAGAGTTGAATAGTTACAACAGAGCATATGGCTTAAAAAGTCTAAAATATTGCCTATGTGGCCCTTTTCCAAAAACATTTCCTAACCCTTGCCAAAGATGGACTATTAATGCAATAGACATTAGTTTTTTGATCCCTGTCACTCTACTATAGAATTCCCACCATGTGAGTCTTTCTAGGGGGACAGAGTCCACCTCTCCACACCAAAGGTCAGATTTTCTTTTCTTCTACCTCCTTGGCAGCCAGGACATGGACATGTGACTTGAGATCAACTGACTAGAGATCTCACCCAGGACTAGGAAGCTGGAGTGAGTCACACAAAAATGAGAAATCATTCTGGCAGTAGCAGAGACAACAGAAGTCACATCTAGCTTCCAGGAGCAGCAGGACCAGCAGCTCAGGTGACTCCTGTAGCAATAATCCACTTGGAGTTGCATGTCAGTAGCGTCCTCACCAGACACTCCCTAAGGCACGGTTTTGTCTTTGGACCTGCTGCCTGGCTTCTGCTTCTACTTGGCCAGGGCTAGCTCAGGAACTAGATAAGACTGAGCCTGAATCACTCACTGCCTAGAGCAGAGAGACGCTGAAGGTACAGGTTGATAAGTATGAACTCCAGGACAGACAATGGCTGATTTATCTTTGTGTCCTTGGCACCCAAGACAGTGCTTAGGTCCAGACTTTGGGAGCTGGGCAGTTCTGGCTCAGGAGTTCACTCACATGGTTTGCAAACTGGCGCTGGCTGTTGCTGGGAGACTTCAGTTGCACTCCACGTGGAACTCTCCACAGGGTGGTTTGAGTTCTCTGACATAGTAGCTGGATTCCCACAGAATGAGCAATCCAACAGACTAAGGTGAAAACAGCAATACCTTTTATGATCTAGCCTCAGAAGTCACCCACTGTCACTTCTGTTATTCTGTATTAGTCACACCCATCAGCTCTAATTCAATATGGAAGGAAACTATACAAGGGCATGAATACCAGCAAGTGAGGATCATGGGGGCCATGTTCGAGGCTACTATACGTCACATAACCATTAACCCCTAAAACAAACCAAATGAAGTACAAATAAAGTGCAGACCATACATTTAGGTTGGTTTAATCAAAACTTCTTTGGTGGACTTCTTGATCTTCAAAACTGTGTATGCCATCTAGCCTTCTCCACATTTGTTCCTTATCTATGAAGGGGTCCAGGACTCTCCTTGGAAGGAAGGTAGGCCCAATCTTAAGGGTTCCTTTTGGTTCTCACATCTCTGATTCTACAAAATAATCAGCAAAAATAAACCTTTGAAGATATCTTTTAGGAGTTGACATTTACACTGGAATTTACAATCCAATAAAAACAGTGAGTCATTACAAGAATCATCTGTTTATTTGACAGAGTAATGATTTAAATTGAGTACATTTGCGCACAGTAGATATTTGACATGAAAAGTAGTTGTATCAGAATGAGCATCAGAAAAATAGCAACTCATCTTACACATAATAACTAGAAAATATTATTCTGTCTGATCATTTAAGTGTTACAAATCCTGAGAATGTTATACATTGAACAAATTAGATACTACCTTATAATTAAATCTGGCTTGGAAAGAATCCTTTAAAAAAATGCTCTGAGGTACAAATCACCTATGTATTAAACATGAGTCTTTGACATTATACAAAGAGTTTAAACAAATATATCAAACAATTACAGGCCAGTGGCTCTTAAAACAGCTATCAGTCAGGTTCAAGGACACACTGTTCCACAATTTCCCGTAAGTTGGGGTTTTCCATTGCAGCTGCCACTCGCTCTTTGTCATTTATCTGCTTATTGACTGAAAAATACACAGACAAAAGTTAGCAGAAGAACTGTGTCAATATACAGCGCCAGACAGTATTTTTATTAGTCTGCTGAAACAAAAACTTGAACTCCTTGAGAACTTAAAGCTGTTTTTGGCTAATTACTCAAAATGTAATTTCCCATCTAGAAGGCAGACTTAAGAGAAAAATATCTACTAGAATTCTACTACTTACCACATCTATTTTTTTCTTTCTAGTCTTTGTCCATATATATATTTTTATACAGTTATATTCAGAGTAAATACAATTTTGAGAATTGCTATTTTTCATCCCTTAAGCCTGTATTTTAAACTACAGGGTTATTTAACATGGTAAAAATCTTAAGTGTTCTAAAGTAATTATGAACACTATGCTACAATGAATACCTTTAAACATATAGCCTTCTTTTTGGAAATATTCTCAAAAATGGGATTTTTTTAAGAGTATGAATATTTTTATGGTGTGATTCATATCAATGATTTACTTCCCAAAATTACTCACCAATTTATATTGTCAACACCAATACATGAGCTATCAGTTTGGCAGCAATACCTGGTAGTATTATCATTATTATTATTATCCTTGGAGACAGGGTCCTGCTCTGTCATCCAGGCTTGAGTGCAGTGGTGCAATCATAGCTCACTGTAACCTCCCACTCCTGGGCTCAAGAGATCCTCCTGCCTCAGCCTCCCACAGGCATGAGCCACCACACGTGGCTAATTTTCAAATTTTTTTGTAGAGACAGGGTCTTACTATGTTGCCCAGGCTACTCTTGAAATCCTGGCCTCAAATTCTGGCCTCAAGGCATTCTCTCGCCTTGGCCTCCCAAAGTGCTAGGGTTACAGGTGTGAACCACCATGCACGGCCAATAGCTGGTATTATTTAATAAAAACAAATACACACATATACATACATAAAACAGGAGGTAGAAAACGGCTCAATGTTATTGTTATAATTTGCATTTCCTTGACTAATAGGAATATAGAACATTTTCCATGTGCATATATTAATTCTTCTTGCATGAATTTCCTGTTCATGTCTCTTTCTGTTAATCTACTAGATCTTTTTTTAAAATTAGTTTGAATGGATCTTCATATAATAAAGGTATTGGCCCATTACGTTTTCTGTAATTAGCTAAGAGCACTCTTAACAGAAGAGTTCAAAAGAGAGACAACTATATTCTTAATGTGGATTGAGTTTTCTGGGATGCTGCTAAAATGTCTCATGTAGAATACACACAAACATACACATATTCCTGTGAAAATATTTTCAATTTAGTTTCTTCCTACTACAATGTAGGCTCCACAAAGGCAGGAATGCATCTCAAAGGCTGAACTGTACCCACACATAGAAGGCACTTAGTAAATATTTACTAAATGTAAAACAAGAATCATAAGGTTTAATACTATTGCTATTGTAAAATCTCATCATTCAAGGAATTTCAAAAGGATAACCTGAGTGGATTTACGGTACCTAAATTCTTATTTTCTAAATCAGAGGTAGAAGCCCTCAGCTCATGGGGTTTAAAGAAATTCAAATCACAAAAAGTATAATAATCTACATGTCTAGAACTATAGATAGGACATGGTTTTTAATAGTTTTCATGACAGTACCTAAAAAGTTTCCTGGATGGGCTGTTCCTCTGGAAGCAGCAGGCTTCCCTCTCTAGAGCTCTCTTTTATGTAGGAGATTTTGTGTGTCTCTCTCCAGCCCTGTGCATGCCTTTCTGAGTCTTCTGGGTATCTATCTCACTGTCGCCCTTCCTCTATTATCTCTTTCTTCCATTCCTCTGCTATTTCATCCCACCTTCTCAATTTACTTAGTGATGAAACTTAAGTATAACGTGCCTTTTAAATGTATTTCTCATTATTTGCACTCTATCATTTGTAGATTAAAAACATTAAAATTCTGTTTTTAAGGTAACACATGGCTCATACAGAACATTTTGTCTTTTGCTTTTCCCAAACCCCACTTCTGCTATTTTTAAGTAGCTACTGATTGATTTCTCTCTGTAGGCCAGAGGTCCTCTATATAAAACCCACTCCCATTCTAATATACTAACCCAGAGAGACAGCACCTACCCCAAGATTCACTAAAGCTCTACTTGCTAGACTTTCAATTTCAAGTACACAGCTCTTTCTATCCTGCCACCAAAGAAAAGAAGCCTACTTAGAGCTCGTAAGTCATGGTCCCTAGCGCTGGATATTCTTTACAGATGTGTAGCCACTGGCCCAAACCAGTCAACATCCATGGGCTCCAGCGCACTCAAGAGTCCACTGCAAAAATTACTACTTTGAAATGCCTAGGTTTCCTCACCTAGGAAGGAAGAGCTAATAACTAATTATGTACTTTTTTAAAAGTAACCCAGTAGATACTTGGCTGGCGGAAGAATCCAATATCCAAGATATTGGATCCAAATACTACCTGAAGTTGTTTTTCAATTATTTTTCAATTATGTTTTAACATTTACTTACTGTCTTCTTCTGTTGAATGGGTTCCTTCAGAAATGTAGATTTCCAACTGGAAAGGGAAAAAAAAGTAAAAGAAAAAACATTAGCACATTCTAAGATAAGAGAGTGAAGTGGAATGTACAGTGAATTCACACATCTAGGGATGAGGGCCCAAATCCTGTTTTTTTTTTTTTTTTTCTTTTTGAGATGGAGTCTCACTCTGTTGCCCAAGCTGGAGTGCAGTGGCGTGATCTTGGCTCACTGCAACCTCCACCTCCTGGGTTCAAGCGATTCTCCTACCTCAGCCTCCCAAGTAGCTAGAATTACAGGCGCATGCCACCACACCCAGCTAATTTTTTTTTTTTTTTTTTAGTAGAGATAGGGTTTTGCCATGTTGGCCAGATTGGTCTCAAACTCCTGACCTCAGGTGATCCACCTGCCTTGGCTTCCCAAAGTGTTGAGATTACAGGCATAAGCCACTGTGCCCAGCAGCCCCAAATCTTGTTTCTAACATCAGAGACTTAGGGACAAGCCTCCCACATCCTTCTCTAAAGAAAAAGGACCAAAATGAGTAGGATTTTTTATTTTGGTCACCTGGGAAAGGCCTGCCAGTGGTACTTCCATTAATTTTTTTATGAATACACAAAAATACCATTTTACACAAATGAGATCTCATATATGTTGTTTTACTTAAGAATATCTCTCTTTGCACTCTACTTCTTCCCAACTCGGTATCTAAACTTCCTGCTGCCCTGCGACTGACCCAGGAAATCTACAATAATGATCTAGTGTGGTTTCTTCCATATTCTTCTCTATACCCACATAATCTTACACAGATTTTACATACACACACACGACACACACACACACACCAGGGTTGGATGTTTCTTCACATTGCTTGTTTTACAAAAATGGGATCACAATATACAGTTTTCAGCATCCTTCTTTTCTCATTCATTATTATCTTGCTAAATTTATTCTCAAGTATAATACTGGTTAAGCTATCCCTCCTGGCCCTGCTGCACCCATAGACATGAGCTACCCTCCAAGACCCAGAGCTTCTGAGACAACCTACAAAATTATTGCAAATCCTGTGGTAAAGACAGTATGCTGGAATAAAGACATCTACTTTCCAGAGAACATTGGAACAGATGAACTAATTTTTATTTACTTATTTACTACTGAGATATTTCTCATGAGTGAGAAAAATCATAACTTATTATAGTTAAAAGGGACCTTAAAGGTCATCTAGGTCAATCTTTTTTTTTTTTTTTTTTTTGAGACAGGTCTTACTCTGTTACCCAGGCTGGAGTGCAGTGGCGTGATCATGTCTCACTACAGCCTCGACTTCCTGGGCTCAGGTGATCCTCCCACCTCAGCTCCCACACTCCCACCCCTCTCCTCCTTCGTCTCCATTTTTTTTTTTGTAGAGATAGGGTTTCGCCATATTGCCCAAGCTGGTCTTGAATTCCTGAGCTCAAGTAATCTGCTCACCTAGGTCTCCCAAAGTATAGAGATTACAGGCGTGAGCCACTGCACCTGGCCCCAATCTCCTTAAAAAAACAAAACAGGCCGGGCGCGGTGGTTCACACCTGTAATCCCAGCACTTTGGGAGGCCGAGGCAGGTGAATCACGAGGTCAGGAGATCGATACCATCCTGGCTAACATAGTAAAACCCCGTCTTTACTAAAAATACAAAAAATTAGCCAGGCCTGGTGGCATGTGCCTGTAGTCCCAGCTACTCGGGAGGCTGAGGCAGGAGAATCCCTTGAACCTGGAAGGCGGAGGTTGCAGTAAGCTGAGATTGTGCCACTGCACTTCAGCCTGGGTGAGAGAGCAAGACTTTGTCTCAAAAAAAACAAAACGAAACAAAACAAAACACCTTTCTCCTACTCTTATTCTAGACCGCAAAGCAACAGGTATAGAATCACTCTATACCGATTTACTTCAGTATAAATTTATGCAGGACTCATTATTCTAAAAATGATAAAGGGGAAGAGGCAGCATTTATGCAGCTATTCCTATATGAACTATACTTTGGGGTAACTAAACAATTGATGAGGGGAGCTGTCACCAGTAATGGAACAAACTGAATTTATAGGCCTCTGATGTGATGCAATGAGAACACATTTATTCAGTATTCTTGCCAAAAATGCATAAACTGAATCTAACCGTAAAATGCAATTTATGCATTTCAATGCATAAACTGAAAACTCAATTTGAGGGACAATCTATAAAATATCTGGTTTACATTCTTCAAAACTATCAAGATCATGAAACAAAGGCTAAGGAACTACTCCAAATTAAATGAGACTAAAAGACATGACAACTAATGCAATGTGTGATGGGTAGAGGACCAGAGCCAGGAGGAGGGACCACCATGAAGGATGTTACCAGACAACAGGGGAAATTTGAATATATGCTGTAGATTAGATGACAGTACTGTATCAATGTGCTGGTTTTGAAATTTATACTGTGGTAATGTAAGAGAATGTCCTTGTTTTCAAGAAATACATCCTATGGTATTTAGAGTAACGGGGCATTACATCTGCACTCAAACATTTCCAAAAAATGTGTGTGTGTGTGTGTGTGTGTGTGTATATATATATAAAGAAATTAATGATAAACCAAATGTGGCAAAATGTTAACAATTAGTGAATCTGAATCTGGGTGAAGGATATATGTAATTTCTTTGTACTATTCTTCACCATTTTATTTCTTTTCTTTCATTATTTTATTTTATTTTATTTTATTTTATTTTATTTTTTTTGAGACGGAGTCTCGCTCTGTCGCCCGGGCTGGAGTGCAGTGACCGGATCTCAGCTCACTGCAAGCTCCGCCTCCCGGGTTCCCGCCATTCTCCTGCCTCAGCCTCCCGAGTAGCTGGGACTACAGGCGCCTGCCACCTCGCCCGGCTAATTTTTTGTATTTTTTTTTTAGTAGAGACGGGGTTTCACTGTGCTAGCCAGGATGGTCTCGATCTCCTGACCTCGTGATCCGCACGTCTCGGCCTCCCAAAGTGCTGGGATTACAGGCTTGAGCCACCGCGCCCGGCCTCTTTCATTATTTTAATTCCAAATAAAAAGTTAAACACTGTAATTAAAACAGTTAAAAATGCAAAGTAAAATAAAATTCACAGGGCATCATAAACCACTAGTATTATAATTTATTAATTTACTCAATTTAAGACATATTTATTGAGCTGCTAATATGTATAAGATCATAGCAGGAACACAGAGATGTATCATTTATGAATCTTGACTTCAAGAAGCTGACAGCTGGTCAGGTGTGGTGGCTCATGACTGTGATCCCAGCACTTTGGGAGGTTGAGGCAGGTGTATCACCTGAAGTCAGGAGTTCGAGACCAAACTCGCCAACATGGCGAAACCCTGGCTCTACTAAAAATACAAAAATTTGGCTGGGTGTGGTGGTGTGTGCCTGTAATCCCAGCTATTTGGGAGGTTGAGGCAGGATAATCGCTTGAACCCAGGAGACAGAGCCTGCACTGGGCCTAGATCGTACCACTGCATTCCAGCCTGGGCAACAGAGCAAGATTCCATCACAAAAAAAAAAAAAAAAAAAGCAGCAGCAGCAGCTGACAGTCCAGGAGGGAAGATGAAAATTAAATAGTTAGAACACAAGTTAGAAAATGACACTCTCTACATCAGAAGACAAAGAAAGAGCCATGGGGCCAGGTGCAGTGGCTCACGCCTGTAATCCCAAACACTTTGGGAGACTGAGGTGGGAGGACTGCCTGAGCCCAGGAGTTCGAGACCAGCTTGGGTAACATAGTGAGACTCTGTCACTATAAAATTAGCTGGGCATGGTGGCATATGCCTGTGGTTCCAGCTACTTGGGAGGGTAAGGAGGGAGGCTCACTTGAACCCGGGAGATCAAAGGCTCGGTGAGCTGTAATCATACCACTGTACTCCAGCTTGGGCAACAGGGTGAGACTCTGTCTTTAAAAAGAAAGAAAAAAGAAAGAGCTATGGCAATTCAAAAAAAGAAATAGGTTTAGTTATGGAAATCAGGACTAGTAGTATGGAAAGGTGAATACAAAAAAATTTTAAAAAAAATTAAAGATTAAAAAAAAGAAAGAAATTTAAAAAGATAAATAAAAATTCATTTTAAAAAAGAGAAAGAAATCAGGACTGACATCATGGAAAATAAAAAAAGTATTTCACTGGGCCTTAAAATGTGGGTAGGATTTGGCCAGGCCAGTGGTTCATGCCTATAATCCCAACATTTTGGGAGGCCAAGGCAAGATGATCACTTGAGCCCTGGAGTTTGAGATTAGCTTGGGCAACAAAGAGAGACCTCATCTCTACCAAAAATTAAGAAAAAATTAGCCAGGCATGGCGGTACATGCCTATAGTCCTAGCTACTTGGGAGGCTGAGGTGGGAGAATCACTTGAGCCTGGGAGATAGAGGCTGCAGTAAGCAGTGATCACACCACTGCACTCCAGCCTGGGAGACAGAGCAAGACGCTGTCTCAATAGCAAACAAAAAAGATGTGTAGGATTTGAATATATGAGATGGGAGGAAAGGAACTCCAAGTTAGACAGGGTACTCTGTGGAAAGGCTTGGCAGCAGCAAGATAGAGAAGGCATAATTGCCCAGCAATTACAAAAGGCAGTAAGAGACAAGCCTGAATCATTCATGAGTTATAACCAATTACTATGAATTAACTGTGATATCCATATTCTTGCTCAATAGTAGGGTTAAAAAAATTTTCCTCAGATATCACACCAAAAGCACAAGTAAAAAAATTTAAAACGAATGAGACTTTATCAAAATTTAAAGCTTTTGTACTGTAAAGGACACCTTCAAGAAACTGAAAAGACGACACACAGAATGGGAGAACATATTTGCTAATCATATCTGATAAGGGATTTGTATTTAGAATATATAAAGAACTCTTATAATTCAATAATAAAAACACATCCTTATTTTAAAATGGGCAAAGGATCTGAATAGACAGCTCTCCAAAGATATACAAATGGCCAAAAAGCACATGAAAAGGTTCTCAACATTATTAGCCACCAGAGAAGTAAAACTCACAACCACCATGACAGCAGGGTGTGGTGGCTCACGCCTGTAATCCCAGCACTTTGGGAGGCCGAGGCAGTGGATTACTTGAGGCCAAGAGTTCAAGACCAGCCTGGCCAACATGGTGAAACCCTGTCTCTACTAAAAATAAAAAAAAATTAGCCGGGAATGGTGGTACATGCTTATAATCCCAGCTGTCTGGGAGGCTGAAGCATGAGAATCACTTGAACCCTGGAGGAGGAGGTTACAGTGAGTCGAGATTGCGCCACTGTACTCCAGCCTGGCAACAGAGCGAGACTGTCTCAAAAACAAAAACAAGGCTGGGTGTGGTGGCTCACCCCTGTAATCCCAGCACTTTGGGAGGCCGAGGCAGGTGGATCACGAGGTCAGGAGTTGGAGACCAGCCTGGCCAATATAGTGAAACCCCGTCTCTACTAAAAACACAAAAAATTAGCCAGGCGTGGTAGCGGGCGCCTGTAGTCCCAGCTACTCAGGAGGCTGAGGCAGCAGAATCGCTTGAACCCAGGAGGCAGAGGTTGCAGTGAGCTAAGATGGCACCACTGCACTCCAGCCTGGGTGACAGAGTGAGACTCTGACTCAAACAAAAACAAAAACAAAAACAAAAAACCATCACTTCATACTCACTAGAATGGCTATAATCAAAGATAATAATAAATGTTAGCAAGGATGTAGAGAAGTGGGAACCCTCATACAGTGTTGGTGGGAATGCAGAATGGTGCAGCCACTGTGGAAAACAAACAATTCCTCAAAATGTTAACCACAGAGTTACCACAGGACTGGGCGATTCCACTCACAGGTGGAAAAGAAATGAAAACATATGCCTACACAAAAACTTATACATGAATGTTCATAGCAGCATTACTTATAATAGACAAAAAGTAGAAACAACCTAAACGTCCATCAACTGATTAACAGATAAGCAAATGAGTAACAGACAAGCAAAAACCACTGAAATGGTACACTATAACTACGTGAATTGTGTGGTATGTGAATTATATCCCAACAAAGCTGTTTTACAACAACAACAAAAACACATCTTTCTTACCTTATGTTTAAATGGTAAACATCGCTGAAGTTTTACTCTTAAGCACAGCCCTGTGGAGGGGAAAAAACACCTCCAGTCATCTCTTTATTGCTTCTTATTGGTTCTTGAAAAAGCATACAGCTTCGTTTATGTGCCCCCATAAAACATAGTCGCTGAAAACAGCTTTGGCTCAATCCAGAGCAGAGCTCCTTTGAGTCTGGCACCACACAAGGACATTTACTATATAATCTTACATATTCCTTAGGATAATCCAATAAACTATTACTAACCCCCTTCTACAAATTTTTAAACCAAGGTCACAATGTAACTTCCTCAAGGTCACTGAGTTACAATAAGTGGCAGAATTGGGATTGGAACCTATGACCACTGGAAAGCCCAGGCCAGTTTTACTACATTAGTTGGCCTTCCAGCAAAAGTCAATTAACTCATTAAGCTTTTTTTTTTTTTTTTTTTTGAGATGGAGTCTCACACTGTCACCCAGGCTGGTGTGCAGGAGTGCGATCTCGGCTCACTGCAACCTCTGCCTCTCGGTTCAAGCAATTCTCCTGCCTCAGCCTCCTGAGTAGCTGGGATTACAGGTGCATGCCACCACACCCAGCTAATTTTGTATATTTTTGGTAGAGATGGGGTTTTGCCTTGTTGGCCAGGCTGGTCTCAAACTCCTTACCTCAAGTGATCCGCGTGCCTCAGCCTCCCAAAGCGCTGGGATTACAGGCATAAGCCACCCCACCCGGCCAATTCAATTAACTTTTTAAAATGCCCCACAACAGGCCAGGCCACACAAAAAAATAAAACCAAGTCAAAGCCATTTTAAAAGGGCCATATAAAACCTCTCAAATTTGTAATCCTTTATGCCTGCAAGGTACAAATACAGTAACTTCTTTAAAAAAAGTTCCACTGAAGTTCAGTTTATCATCCCATGCTAAGACACATCAACAAAACCTCAAACCATACAGCAATACAGCAAGATATAATTGTTAGACTACTTATCTTTTAGGGAGGTAATTACTTGGTTTTGGTTTTCTAAGTACCATTTCGTTTTCTAAGAGAATTTTTTGAAAAATCCCAAAACAGGGAAAAGGAGTAGATGAGATATAATGAGGGGGTGCTTGCCACGGGGTCTTTATTTACTTATTTATTTTTTTTGAGACAGAGTCTTGCTCTGTCGCCCAGGCTGGAGTACAGTGGCGAGATCTCAGCTCACTGCAACCTTCATCTCCCGGGTTCAAGAGATTCTCCTGTCTCAGTCTCCCGAGTAGCTGGGACTACAGAAGCAAACCACCACACCCACTAATTTTTGTATTTTTAGTAGAGACAAGGTTTCATCATGTTGGCCAGGCTGGTCTCGAACTCCTGACCTCAAGTGATCTGCCCGCCTCGGCCTCCCAAAGTGCTGGTATTACAGGCGTGAGCCACTGCACCTGGCCTCTTACAGTCTTGAATACAGTAGTTCTATAATAAATATTAGAGAATTCTAAAGAAAATATATCATTTCCTTAAGAGGGTCTCTCTTCAGAGGATCTGCCTTAAAGCATATTTGGGAGAGTTCCTCTTTGCCTGGCCCCACCATTGTCTCCTTAATTTGTTATCTGTGTACTGTCTGAATATCCTCATGTATTTTAGTCACTGTTGGTAGGTGTTTTACAATTCACAAAGCACTTTTTTGAGCATCATTATCCTCAAGAGAAGTAGTACAGCATAATTGAGATACTTTAGGTTTCAAAAGTAGCTTCACTACAGACTCGCTATGATCCTGCATAAGTTACTTAACCTCTCTGGGCTTCAGTTTCCTTATCTGTAAAACAGGTATTATAGTATCAGCTGGGCAAGGTGGCTCATGCCTGTAATCCCAGCACTTTGGGAAGCCAAGGCAGGAGGATTGCTTGAGCCCAGGAGTTCAAGACCAGCCTGGGCAATATAGCAAGACCCCATCTCTAAAAGTAATAATAATAATAATAATAACAACAACATTAAAAAATATAATAATATCACAATATATAGGGTTGCTATGAGGAATAACTTGTTATGTAATGTGTTTAAAACAGTACCTGACACACAAGTGTACAATAATAGTATAAAAACAGCTAATACTATTTTATACTATTTTATAATTTTCATTTTACAGCCAAGAAACCAAGATAAGTGATTTGTTTAACATTAATTAGTTAACAAGTGGCAGAGGTAGAACCCAAACCTATACCTTCTGACCTCCAAACCCTATGACCCTTCCCATTGGACCACAGCTGCCTTCAGCCATTCTTCTCTGGAATAAGTCACCACAAATGATTATCAACTTGTTTCCCTGCTTTACCCCTCTTGTTCCCTTGGAGTCTTGTCAATCACTTACCAAGGTAACACTGAATAGGTGATACTCTTACTCAGGCACCTTTCCGGGCTAGGACTACCAGCTCGGGAGGAGTATCTCTTAACACATCAGAGACAAAGGGCTCTCTCAAGTTTTCCAGCTGTGTTGACTGAACATAACTACTATGACACACTATTATACAATTCTCTAAAAAGCCAATAGGCTGGGCGTGGTAGCTCACACCTGTAATCCCAGCACTTTGGGAGGCCAAGGCGGGTGGATTACTTGAGGCCAGGAGTTTGCATGGAGAAACCCCGTCTCTACTGAAAATACAAAAAATTAGTTGGGCATGGTAGCACGTGCCTGTAATCCCAGCTACTTGGAGGCAGAGGCACGAGAATTGCTCGAACCCAGGAGGCGGAGGTTGCAGTGAGCCAAGATAGCACCACTGCATTCCAACCTGGGCAACAGAGCAAGACTCTGTCTCAAAAAAAATAAATAAATAAATAAAAATAAAAAGCCAATGGTCTTAGCTGAAATCCATAACAAAAGGGCTAAGACAAAACTTTCTTCAGGAAGTGTACATATCTGAAATACCAACCATAATCTCATGTTAGCACCCTTACAGAACAGTTATTTTTATTTCATGCACTCTCCTGATATTTCTATAATTGCAATCATGATGCAATTTGTACTTATTCAAATTTTTTTCACGTTTTTTTTTTTTTTCTTTTTTAGAGATTGCTGGTTTCAAACTCCTAGGCTCCAGTGATCCTCTCACCTCAGCCTCCCAAAGTGTTACAATTACAGGTGTGGGCCACCGCGTCTGCTGAATATTTTCTTCTATAAAATTATTTCCTTAACTCCTGCATCAAAGAGTATAAACTTCCAAATAGGGATTTACCAATATATACCATAAGGCTTCAAAATACGTACATAATCTAACCCAATTATTCCACGTATAGGAATTTATCCTGAGGCAATAATGAGATATATAAAAATATTTATATAAGGCCAGGCACGGTGGCTCACCCCTATAATTCCAGCACTTTGGGAGGCCGAGGTGGGCAGATCACCTGAGGTTGGGAGTTTGAGACCAGCCTGACCAACATGGAGAAACCACATCTTTTTTTTTTTTCACTGCAAAGCTACTAGCCAGAGCACACTGGGTGACCCACCTGTCTCAAAAAAAAAGCACATACTCAAAAAAAACAACACATATCTAAGCCCTCTCCGAGTAGCTGGGATCTACAGGCGCCGCCACCCTCGCCGCTAATTTTTTGTATTTTTAGTAAGAGATGGGTTTCACCGTGTTAGCCAGAATGGTCTCGATCTCCTGGCCTCGTGATCCACCCGTCTTGGGCTCCAATTGGCTGGGATTACCAGGTGTGAGCCACCGGGGCAGCCGGCCTGAGACCACATCTCTTTATTCTAGAAAATACAAAATTAGCTGGGTGTGTGGCACATGATCTGTAATCCAGCTGCCCTCAGGAGGGCTGAGGCAGGAGAATCGGCTTGGAACCTGGGAAGTGGAGTGTTGTGGTGAGCCAGATCGATGCATTGCACTCCAGCCTGGGCCGACACGACAAGATTCTGTCTCAATAAAAAAAAAAAAAAAAAATTTTAATACCATAAAGCCCCT